TTATTTAGATAGTAAATACAAAAGTGACTTTTAATTTTGACCATTGTTGACCTGAATAGAGACCAACTTTGGTCGCTAATTATACATGAATTTAATTGGTCGCTAAATTTAAATCAGATTTATTTATATTTATATAATATTTAAATTAATAATATAATTGTTAAATGTTAGAACTGAGTCCCAGATTAGCGACCAAAGTTGGTCTCTATTCCATTAAGCGACCAACTTTGGTCGCTAAGTTTGAATTATATTTATTTATATTTTTATATTTTTTTTTAAATAAAAATATATTTATTAAAATTTTATAACTGGGTCCCATTTTAGCGACCAAAGTTGGTCGCTATCTGCTGACCGTTTAATTAGCGACCAACGTTGGTCGCCAATTTTAAATTATATATACTTATATTTTATAATTTTTTTAAAATAATAATATAATTATTAAAATTTTGTAGGTGGGTCCCACTTTAGCGACCAACATTGGTCGTTAATCTCAGTATACCTTTGACCAAGCAAGTCTGACCAGTCCAGTCAACAGTTTGATTAAATTAGCGACCAACCTTGGTCGCAAATTTATTTCAAATATTTATTTTATTGTTTTCGCTAGTTTGGCGACCAACTTTGGTCGCTTTTTGCGGCAGACCAACTTTGGTCGCTAACGTTTGGTCGCTTTTTTCCGGAATTCTAGTAGTGTGGGATTAGTTATCCTGATATTATTTTTATCCACTTTTGATACAATATGTTATATTAATCTTGGGATTGTAAATTTTACTACTTTATCTTCAAATTATTATTCCACCCTTTGACAGGTATAAGTTATCCCAGTACTATTTTTAATTTTGGGATAACTTATCCCGGGATAGCAACCAAACAAAGGAACCAAATTTTTATCTTGTTTTTGTTTATCCATCGTACTTATGTCATTAAGGATAAAACGAGAATGTTAAAGTGCAAAAGATTTCAAATGTAGGAGGTTTAAAAATAGAACGAATGGAGTGATAATTCTTGCGTGTATAGTACAAGAATGGTGCATGTATATAACCTTGTTTAAGACCAAAAAGGAAAGCAATAACCCACAATGCAAAACAAACCATTCATATAATTTCTAGCACAGAAGAATCATTGATTACACATAAATGGAAACTCAAAAAAATAAAGAAGGCTCCACGTGTCACAGAAAGCACATCCTATCCCTGGGGGTCGATGGAGTACGTGGAAAATAAAACAAGAAACACAAGGAACAATCTTAAACATGAGAGATACAAGGTACGTAAACTCAAATCTTGAAAAACATAGAGACGAGCACACATTAAAGCCCACAAGCTAAGTGATACATACAGCTGGGCAAGAAGAAATTAAATTAATCAACGACGAGAAAGGGCGAGAGCAGAGAGTAAGACTAAGAGTATGAAGAATATAATTCCAATAAAGGAACCGACTAAGGAACCAGAAGTACGATGGCAAAAGGAGTCGTATTGTTGGCAGATTGGAAACCAGTTTGTCTTTGTATTTCCTTTGTGTGCTAAGTACACTATTGCTGCTGATGCTGATGCTCCCGCCGTCAATAGCGCCATCATTGCCTTCATTTGAAAATGAGACAGTACGGTTAGTTTAAAGAGCTTAAGTTCTATGATGTAAGAAATCTCTACACGATCAGGTAATTATAGGTAAAAATTCATATTATAAGCATGCGTTTATATAGTGTATTGTACACTGACGATGATAAAGTATATTTACATAATCATGTTGCTTATACATAGTGTAATTACAAGTATATATAGGTCTATAAGTTGATGACCTAGTAAAAATAGTAATTAACTTATTACTACTTCCCAAAAAATAGTATACATGAGGAGTCGAGCTTGTGCTCGACTCCTCATGATATGGAAGATGGACATCCCCAGAGAAAGTACCAGATATGCACTTACTATTGCATTTGCAACCACGAAGAACCTGTATTTCAACATGTGCATTAATTACGTACTAAGTTCTTTGCAAAATATATTGTATATATATACTGACATGCATGTTGATCATAAGATATAGTGTATAAGTGCTTACGTGAACGTGGGGAGATCGCTATACTTGGCCCTGAAACGAACGAACTGAGTGAAAAAAGGTAGTGTTTCATTAGTAGTTCCCATGGCAATGGCACTTCCTAAGGTGGCAATTATGGCGATTATCCTTAGAAATAAGTCAAGTATAGACATTCCTCTATTCACCCCTCTTTGTGTAACCTTGGAAGCATGACCAAGTTCAACTGCACCTGCCTTCATTTTTCTTAATTAAAGAGTTGCTACGTAAAAATATTGTAAGAAGAAGAAAGAAGATTGCTGCTTTAGCTATGATCTTTTGGTTGTGCTTGCTTTAGAGGGCTGAACATGCCAATTTATATGCGTCGATAAACACATAATTAACAGCACACACCTTTATTTACACCAGCTCACCATACATGTTAGCCAAGTGGCCTCATTCAGGCAATTCCTCTTTGGTTTTTAATATTTTATATGTTGCTAAATTTCTAATGTTTACTCGTACTCATCTCTTATTTAATCACCTTTTCTACAATTTCATCACAAAAATTAAAAACATGTTTCAATAAATTACAATGCTTAGTATATCAAATACCTTTGAACTTGAATATAGGGATGAATTTTAATTTGTTACCAAACTTCTATTATTTAATTATATTTCAAATATTTTTCTTTATGTACGCGCTTATTTTTTTTTGTCATCCGAACATATGAAAATTCTAGTGATAATGGGCGATAATGAGACTTAAACTGATAATTCCATCTACTCATACGGTATATATATGTTAAGTTGTGTAACCACATCATATAAAAGCTTGAGTTCTTATAGGAGAAGCATTGGCCTTATATACTTAACTAGGAGTATATCTTTAGCACAGGTAAATGATTCCTAGCTATTTTCACGATTCTTCGATTTGATGTGGTTCATAGTCTTAATTTAGAAGCTAATCATATGTCGTATTAAATTTCAAATACACATTGGCTCTGTTTTAAATCGAATTTGGAAGTAGGTCAATGCCATTATTTGGGCTATTTGACATTAATCACCAATTTTAGCCTCTGTGCTAAAGTACAATATTCCAGTTAAAATATCAATATTTCTGTAACGTAAACGTCATTCATATCTAGTCATACTGCCATAAAAAGAAAAGGATGGTAATACAAGTTGGGCCTAAATCAAGACAATTGTGACACCTACTAGCTTTCTTTTCACTTTTCAATATGTCTACCTGCTTTCGTACTTGCTCTACCGTCAATGAATTGAATATATCTCCAACTCCATTATACTTTTTTTTCTCTCCAGAAATATTGGAAAATTCTATTGTTGATAGCTTGAAAAAAGAAGTAGCTTGCATGTGTAAGGTAAGATCCAATTCGTCTTATACCGATTTTCTAAAGCCTTTTTTGAATTGAGTATCATATCCTGAGCACGTTAGGCAGTTGGAATTGAAAAAGTATCTTTCCTTTTGGAGAAAACAAATGAAGGATGAGTAGTTGGATTGTGCCTATATATAATGAATATTCTTTCTTGCTAACCAATCCAGTTTGTTCCAGAAATGATTTCTTGGAAACAGATATGCTATTATATTGTTATGCAGAGGCGGAGTCAAGATTTAAAGTTTATGGGTTCTGAATTTGTCATAGAACCCATAGCTCGTTTTAGTTACTGGGTTCATAATTGAATATTGATACATATTTTATGAACTTTTAAATACAAATATAAGATCTAAGCAAAAGCTAATGAGTTTGTCCGAATCCGCATTTACTTCTCTAGCTCCGCCACTGTTGTTGGGACATCTGGAATGAAATGAAATAGCCCGCATCAACCAAGGTAATTAACTATTTTGCATAGGAATGAACAAATTTTTGTGTTAAAAAAGTTAGCACTTCATTCTTACTACCATTTTATCCTAAGAAAATTGTAAAAGAGAAATACCAACGACTGAGTTATGTGGAGCCAAGTCCTAACGCCAATTTTTTTTTGGTATGAGAGCGTTTCTCCTTAAGAGCCAATAACTGAGTCAGTATATATCTTCATTAAAAAGTGTTAAAATTTAAAGAAATAAATAAACGAATAAATCAAGGAGATTCAATACATAGTATATATATATAAAAAAAATATTATTTTACATATTTAAATAATGTAATTTTTCAATGAAGGAATGTCAATTCCTTAAAGCTATGTAGCTCCACCAATTTTAAGAGGGTCTTATGCGACATTAATTTAAATCAGTCAGACTAATAAATTTTGCATACCAGATGATTATATATAAGAAAGTCCTAACTCCTAACCACCACTTAGTAAGACGCAAAAGGGAAGAAGCTAAGATGGATTGGTTGAAATACGATCTTTGGATATTCTATCTAGCACCAACTAAACCTCGCTTTACTTTCCTAAAGTTGCATCATCCGACAGTCTTTATATGGGAATGCTTAGTTAGGTGACATTTTGTTGTAACTTGGTATAGCTGAGATCAAACATAAGTTTATATATGAATTTAAATATATTGTGTATTTTTTTACTCTATCAGTACGCTTTAATATGTTATAACATGTTACTTTATCTAATTTAACTACACATAACGTGTGTATGTATGTATCAATGAAATTATAATTTTTGATAATAACTGTGAATATTATCATAACAATCAAAAGTTTTACAAACTAAGAGCATCTAAATTCCAAACCATATTCTAGGAAGATTGCTCAGAATACTAAGACCTCAGAAAGACAAACCAATCCAATCATATAAGGGAGTCTAATTACAAAGCCTATAGTATGTATATTTAGTTTCATTAGCCTTTCCTTTCCTTTGTTAGCAATTTGTCCTGGTAAGCAAGCCACAATATCAATCTCTGCCTTGGCATCAGCACTGCACTCCATACGATTTCTGCTTTCCTCATCCTTGTCATTTCCCAAGAATAGCAGTATAACTACTTGATACTGAGTAGATACCATTTGGAGTTAACTTGTACATGTTCCTTTTATACCATTGTGTCATTTTATTTTTCAATGCATTCAACTTTTTTCAATACCAACTAAAATTTGGGAGGATTGTGTTCCTAGATGTTACTGCAATTTTTCATATGAACCTCATGTACCTATTGTCACGGCCCAAAAACAACCGTCGTGATGGTGCCTATCGTGTAATTAGGCCAGCTTCAACTCAACAATCCAACACCAACAATAGTAAGTTTGAAAACATTAATGGAAGCATTTAACAATTAAAGAAAACTGTTTAAAACATAAGAAATTTCCAAAGTGATACAATTCAGCTCAAAACCAGAGTGTCACTGGGTACATGAGCGTCTAGATCAAAAAATACGGTCTACAATAGCGTCTAAAGATATAAATTGAAAATACGATAAAGATAAGGAAGGGAGAGTCAAGGCTCGCGAATGTCATGCAACTACCTCGATAATCTCCGAACTTTAGAACCTCGATCAATAACCGCCGCTACGACGGGTATCACCTGGATCTGCACACGAGGTGCATGGGGTAACGTGAGTACACCAACTTAGTAAGTAACAAGTCCAAACTTTGGACTGAAAGGTAGTGACGAACTTAATCGATACAGATAAGAACAAATATAACCATGCAGAATCATAGACATGCTTTCACTTTAATAGGCAGTTCAAAACAATAAAGTAGAACAAATACGAATAGTGTAAAGAATATATCTCTGCTACCTCTACATGCCAATGCACATGCTGTATGGAATGTACCATGCTATCAGCCTCATGTGCTCACACTCTCAAATACCCAACCGCTCTGTACTGTATATGGCTCATACGGCCCAGGGAAGATCCATCCCGAAATATATACACATCACTGACAACAGTCACTCAATACCGAGGAAGGCCAATCCAGCACTATGGAGAAGATCCATCTCTAGGAATCAATGCTTCGGACAAGATCCATGTCCAGGGAAGATCCATCCCTCAATAATATCAACTACGCTCACTAGGGGTGTGTTACAGACTCCGGAGGGGCTCCTACAGCCTAAACGCTATCAATATCATCAATATAACCGCTATGGCGTGCAGCCCGATCCCATAACTGTCACTCATAACCAGGCTCTCGGCCTCACTCAGTCATTAACCTCTCCAGTCTCACCACGGGCTCACAATGTCACGAAACAACCCAGAATAATGATATGATAAATCAATAAATAACTAAGACTGAGATATGATATAAAAATGCATGATCATGACTGAGTATGGAATATTAGATGGAAACTAGTGAGATGACAGCAAGAAACAATCGCTAAAGGTCCAAACAATACCGGTACAAGCCTAAACATGATATATAGCATGATTTACAGCTCAACTACTTTATCACATGGTGAAAACATGAATATCAATAGGATAGAGTCACTAAACAATACCATGAAATCCCCCAGGATACAATTCTCACGGTGCACGCCCGCACGCCCGTCACTTGGCATGTGCGTCACCTCACTACTAATCACATAACACGTAGTTCGGGTTTCGAACCCTCAGAACCAAGTTTGGAAGCATTACTTACCTCAAACCAAGCAAAATTCCTACTTCGCGATGCCCTTGCCTCTCAAATTGGCCTCCAAATGTCCCGAATCTAGCCACAAGCAATATAAATACGGTCAATATAGGCTAAAGGAACCAATTCCACAAGAAAATACCAAATTATAGCCAAAAATCTAAAATTGGCTCAAACCCGTCCCCCAGACCCACGTCTCAAAATCTGACGAAAGTCACAAAACCCGAAAGCCCATTCACTCACGAGTCTAACCATACTAAATTTATCAAAATCCTACTGCATTTAGTCACTCAAATCCCCAAAATTCACTCTCCAATTCTAAAGCCCTAAATCTCCAAATTTCTAGCTCAAATGCCTAATTAGATGATGAATAAAGCCATGAATTCACGAAATTTATACCATTATGGATTAGAATTACTTACCCCAAAGTTCTCCCTTGAAATCCTTCGAAAAATCGCCTCTCTCCCGAGTTCCTCAAGTCCAAAATTGAAAATGGAGAATAAAACCTCGAGCCGGGGTTTTCTGCCCAGCTAAAACCGCACCTACGGTCCTAGTTCCACACTTGCGGAACCGCATCTCCGAAAAGGACTCCGCTTCTACGGAAATTCATTAAAAGACTTGCTCCGCTCCTGCGATCACCTGACCGCATCTGCGGCCATCGCAGATGCGGGAACTAAGCTGCACCTGCGATCCAACTGCGCATATGCGCCTCACAATCCGCTTCT